GGGGGGGGGGGGTGTCATCTTAAATGCAAAGTTGTCTTGGAGTCAGGTAGATGCAATGAAAGAATAATAGTTTTAGTGAGCATGGAAGCCCAGCTTCAAGGAAAATTCTTTATAGGAGACAAAGCCTTTTTGGCTGCTTATGCAGAGAGGACCAAGTACAAACATGATGCCCTTCTCCCCATTCCCAGGTTGCTGCTATGTTGACTCCTATGGCAGAAAATTAGCTCTGCCTGCCATTACAAACATGGATTAATTCCCTAGTGTGTTGACTAGAGGGAAACTGACTGTGCTGGAGTCATCAAGAAGTGTTATGAGGATCAGAGAAGCTACTCTAGACGTCATAAGTTTCACATTTCCATTGATGTGTTACAGTAGTTGAGAAAGTAATAGTAGCTGGGTATACCAGCTTGATATAACCAAGGGGCTTCGTTTCATTTGTATTCCAGGAGCCAGCTAATAGAGAAGACTTTTTTTTTTAAATAGATTTTGTCTGTCTGCCACAAAACATCAATGCCAGGAAAAAAAATTAAAATATGTACTGACCGACAAGAGTTTTGTACAACTTTTAATGAAAGCCCAGAGAAACCTACATTTAACACAATCTTCCCTACTACTTCTTTGTACCTGCCTGGAGCATCTTAAAGGTAAAAAACTGTGCAGAACAGCTTCTCAAATTGTATCGAATGTCGGGGGGGGGGAAGAGTCAGTCTTAGTTTCCTTGGTTGTTCCTTTTGTGTCTCTGCTCACAACAGTGTATCAAGGTTAGTTTTGCTCTGGCTGGCCAAGCCAGATTTATCTAAGAGAAGGCGAAAACAGGAGATGGAAAATTAAGAACTCAGGGGAAACATCAGGAAAGGTGCCGAGACAGATGAGGTGACGTCATGTAATGACATAAGTATCCTGAGATGGAATGGTATCGTGAAACGTCTATGTGACCTGGTCACCAAAGTGAAGTTACTGTGCATCACAGTGTAAGATTTTCCTATGATGTATTGATCTGGCTCAGGGCTGTCCAACTCACAGCCCAAGGACCTATGAGAGGTTAAATTGTGGCCTCCCCAGACTCCCAGTCAACTGCCACTGCGCCAATTGTTCCAGCTGCAGAAGCAGTCAGGGTCTCCAGGCTCCCCCTCCCTACCCCAGGGGCAGGGCAGGGCAGTGAAGTGCAGTGCCTTAAATCAGTGTTATGCAGAAATATCCCCATGGCAGCTCTGAGCACACTAAATCTAGAACCAATAGGACAACAGCCAGTCTTTATGTATGCCTGGACCTCTGGGGAAGGCACAAATGCTTTAGGCATGCTCTTCCAACCGAGGCTTGAGACGTTCTAGTGGGGTTTGGAGACTTAATTCTCCCTGACAAACATTAGCATCCTGCCACACTTCAGTAAACTAGCTGTTCTAATGGGCAACACTTAATGGGAAAAATCAATCCATTGGAACCAAAAAAGCAGAGTAAGTATCTGATGATCCATATATGCAACCTTCCTCCTACTCCCAGGAATATTTTTCTACAACTCTATGAACTCATCTGGAGTCCTGAAAACTAGTGAGACACTTTTTTTTTTTTGTTTAGACTAACAAGTTATATAATTCCTATGACTTTGCTGTGTTGTCTTTTGACAACAAATTTACAAAACATACAAGTTGATATGAAATCCTGCCCTGGTTCACCCACCATGTGCAATTTAAGATATTAAGCTGCAGTACAGTTGAACACAACAAAATTGCATGGTACATGGTATTTGACTTCTGGGAGGAGGGACACCCAGCAAAATTGCTGTTATCTGACATTTTATGCCAAAATTATTTTTAAAAATAAAGGACTCAAGAAAAGCAATACATTTCAGGATGGGTTGGCAATTCTTCACAAAAGGTTCCAAACTGGGCACAAAAAGACTGCCCCACAACCATGAAATCCCTTTAAAGGATGCAACTGGCTAGCTAGTCCTCATTTTAAGAAGTATCAGAAGGAGAAAATGAAAAAACAAACTACAAAGCCTAACTTAACTGGAAAGAGTTGTTGCTCCGGCAGGAGATGGGAAGTAAACTGGATTGCTCAGCCAGAACCAGCCCTTTGATCACAAATTTCGTTTGATTTTCTCACTCCATCAGCTGAAAGAAGGATATCAATATCTGTTGTCTTAACGGACCTACAGCAGGAAAAAATATCAATAAATGTACGCTTCTACTTTGCCAGGGCACTCCAAATGAACCATAAATACTCATCTTACAAACAAAACATGCCAAAATGAGTTGTGGGAACTTTTAATTTATAAGATTACAGGGTCAAATACAAAAGCAGCCTACCAATAAAAGTGGCCAAGTACTAAAATCAATGTCATTATTGTTTTTACTAAGAAATCCAACATCACAAATTGCATTGCTTAATTTTGTTTACATTACCTTAAAATACAATTCATATATTAAATTTAAAATACACATGCACTGTTCTTTTAGGGTATTACTGTACAGGTTTTTCAAACTATATACATTAGCAAGTCACAACAGATTTTAATCATGATTAAAATCAGCATATAGAATACCTCAGTTCAAATCACTAATTTTAATCATGGTTTGCATCTTCATTCTTTTTAAAAGATTATTCTTTTCCTGAAGACAGGTTGTTTCCATTGGTAGCTATTAAAACACACTGATTTTCAGCAAAATATATAATCTTTATACTCAGTGTGTTTGCTCTTTTCGCTTTTCAGGAAGACATACTATTATTTTATTTTAAATTCAATTTTATATATATAAATTTTATATATATAAAGCAATTACACAACATTCTCTGAATAACATATAACAACTTAATTAAAAGAAAAAATGTTTGAAAAAGGTGATTTTAATTTTTATTTACTAGATAATTAATGTTTTTACTCATGATCTATGCCCAGCTGTATTTGGACAGAAACCAGAATTCAATGAAAAATGAACAGACAGCCTCTTTTATTTAAACACAGTGCTTTAAAAATTTGATGGATAAATAAAGGTTAAGTTTAGCAAAACATGCTTTGCATTTGAAGCTACAGATTAAGTAATGGAAGTATTACCTCAAAATAGTGAACTGAACTGATGCATGTCTGACCACACTGTCCTTCAAGATTTAGTACTAAAAACTCATTCTCTCTGATCTCATTTTTATTCATAGATTGAAAGAGAAAAATAAGCTTTTCTACTTTTAAGCACTCAATTCATTTTTAAACTTGGAATTAGAGTCATTGAAGCAACTAACCATCAAGCATAAATGAAAGTGTTCTCTCAGCCTCTACCGAAAAAATTTGCTACTGTCAAAAGCTAGTTTAACACCTCAACAAACTTTAACTCCAGGTGTGCTGTCAGAGGACTTCTACCAATCTGGTGTTTTCTAAAATTTCTGCAGTGCTTTGAAATTGAATTTAAAAATATTAATTTGTAGACAGCATAATAAATTTTAGCCTTGAAAATTATCACACTTTCAAGTTAACAGTACACCTATATACAACTGAAAGAAATATGTATATACACACATACATT